TTTTTTTTTCTTAAAAAGAAAAATGTGCTTATGTAAATTATCCCCCAAACTTCTCCAAAAATTATGTCAAGTAATTATCTGGTCTAGAGAGCTTCTTATGAAATGAATTACTATTAGAGTCATGCACTACCATTCTACGGGAGTCAAAGGAATTCTATATTCAGCCCTTTTGATTCCTGGTCCTAGACAGAAACTACAGAGGAAAGTATCCTGTTTACTCCGCTTCAGAAGGCATCCCATGACCTCAGCTGGAAAATGATGGATCCTTGAGGATAACTAGCAGGAAAGATGATAAATGTACATAAAATTACATATGGAGTAAAGAAAATGGAAACCCCCCCCATTTCTTATAATACTAGAATTGTAACATTTAATGAACTTGAATGGCAGGTAAAACAAAACTGGCATTTCACCACAGAGCACATAATTCGAGTTCATTTAATTAACATATAATAATACCTACCATCTTGGATATCCTTAACAGTAAACTAGACAGATTCACAAGTAATTGAGGATTGAGGAGTCTAGAGCAATTGTTCCCAAACCCCTCTAATCACTGTTAACTCTCCATAGAAGGAAGAAAAGACATGGGCATCAGATTCAAAGCAGAGAATTTTTAACCCGTGTTAAAAATCTGGCTATATGCTATATGCCATATATGCTAACAGCTATATGGCTTTTCTAAGAACACAAGTAGGGAATCTCTGAATGATAACAATTTCTAGGAGAAAATGTGGTTGATCTCATTCTAAGGTGATTCCTATCTAACTGGTCACTTTGGGAAATGAGCCATGGCCTGATCCAGTGTTTTCTGGATTACACTTATAGTTTGGTTTGCATATACCAGTGATGGCGAGCCTTTTTTTGCTCGCGTGCCAAAAGTGGGGGGAGCGCAGGGGGGTCGTGTGCAGGCATGCCACACCCATAATGCTATGTGCACGACCAGCGCTCCCCCCCATTTTTTGCATGCTTTTTTCACCCTCCCCAGGCTCCAGAGGCTTTATAGGAGCCTGGTGAAGTCGAAAACAGCCTCCCCCACCTCCCCGAAAGCTTCAAGAGCTTCCCTGAAGCGTCTGGAGCATGAAAAACCACTCCTACGGGCAAACCGGAAGTTCAGGAACGGACTTCCGGTTTGCTCATAGGGGCGGTTTTTCACGCTCCGGAGGCTTCAGGAAAGCTTGTGAAGCCTCTGGAGGGAGAAAAATAGCCTCAAAAGAAGGCCGAAGTCAACTGGCCAACGTGCGCATGCGCGCTGGCCAGCTGACAGGGCAAGCCTCGTGTGCCCTGACAAATGGCTCCGTGTGCCATCTGTGGCACGCGTGCCATAGGTTCACTATCATGGGTATATACCATCCATTCAGATAGCATGAAAATGCAGGGCAATTAAGATGTCACCCCTGTTGTTCTGCCATATCTTATGGGTAGAGATTTATTTTGTTGGTGGAAGAACCCTATAAGTCCACGTTTAACTATTTCTTTTCTGAATTCCATGCTTTTAAATAAAATGTAGTATGATGCATCCTTTTTCAGTGATAACAAATTTTAATGTAAATTTCAATACTTACAAAAGTACACTGTAGGCAATCAAGTCAACTACCACTTTTCCCAATGGCTATTTTGTTCTGAGAAATTGAGATACTGCTATCTCAAAAGCAGATTGCTGAAAGGTTCAATAGCAGAGCAATCCCTCTCTCTGCATGGATTGGCAATGAATGTGAAAAGAATTATTATTAACCAGGATGTGTGTCTCTCATTGCTTGAGTTGATCTCTTATCTGGAAAGAGTACATCCCATTACTGGGTTCTCATGTATTTTAATTACTGTTTTCTGATTTAGCATTTCTATCCTTTTGCTTTGCAGAATTATTGGACTGTAAGTCCCAGAAATCCTATTAGCATATTGGCTGAAAATTCTGGAAGCTGTAATCCTAACATATTTGCAGGATGTTGTATTCAGAAAGCTGCTCTATTGCAAGCAGGTAGCAAATTAAGTTACTCCATACTCATCACACAGGTTTTTGCCTAGAAAGAAAATTGCTTCTGAATGGTGTAGAGAGCAAAGTGCTTTGATTTTATTTCATGGCATTTAAAAATGTGAATTGTTGGACCATATATATAAGGGCATCTCCACAGAGCTATAGTCCCAATCTGTTTTTCTTGTATGCTGTAAGTGGCAGTGTTGTGGCAAGCTGAAAACTTTTTATTCTATGTGTAAAATGCTGTAAATGCAAAGGGGATTGAGAGGGAGCACTGAAGCAATGTAACAGCAGATTTGGCTTGTGACTGCTGATTACCTCAATTATCCCACTTTGACAAAAGTGGCCTGACCTTGGGTCAAAAGTTTAACTTCACTATCCGTTACACCTGATTCTGAGCAATTGTCATAATTACACAAATTGTACTAACTTGCTGATTGGCTCAACAATCAATTTTGCAGAGAAACACTTGTTATTTTTTTCTTCTTCCACCTTCTGTCAATCAGGTTTTTTTTTCACATTTAGGAAAGGATAATTTGCAACCCACCCTTTCCTTTGTGTAAAACCTTCTCTGCCTATTTGCCTGGAAATTGAGGATCTCTGAACTGCAAATTTCTTTGCTTAGTCAATGGCCATTTTTTAAAGGAACATATTCCAGGAACATAAACATGGTAGGTCAAGCTATGCAGCAATTTCAACCAAAAGTTGAATCATTCTCAAAACCTGGATAATAGCTTTTGAAAGAAGTCAGGAGAGTCATACAAATCCTCACTATGTATAGAAAACTGGTTGAAAGTTCCATTCCTCATTGTTGCAGTCTAAATTTATGCTATTATACATACAAACCCAGAACTAGAGATGCCTTCTCTATTTTACACTCTTACTTTTGGTTTTACAAGATTTTGCTAATATAAGTAGTACTCATTTTACGATGAATTTTTGCTGTTAAGTGAGAAATATATTAAGTGAGTTTTGTCCCATTTTACGATTTTTGCCACATTTGTTAGGTAAATCACTGCAGTTCTTAAATTAATAACACGGTTGTTAAGTGAACCTGGTTTCACCATTGATTTTGCTTGTCAGAAGGTCACAAAAGAGAGTCACATAAACTCAAGAACACTGCAACCGTCATAAATGCGAGCCAGTTCTGAAGCATCCAAATGTAAACCACGTGACCATGGGGGATGCTGCAACGGTCATATTGTAACTTCGAATGGTCACTATCTGAACTTTTGTAAGTCAAGGAGTCCCTGCAACTATGGATATGAAAATGAACATTTACTTTTTTATGGTTCTACAAGAATTATTAAAAATAAGGGAGAATAATCTGCTTTTAGCAATTTATGAGCATACGTTTCTAAACATCTACAGGTGAAATAATGCTCAGTCAACTCTCTTTGCTGACAATACCCATTATCTCCTGCTTTTCAAGTTAATCCTTTTTTTTCAATCTTCATCATGTTCTCTCCAAAGGAATCTTGGTTACTCAAAATAATGTTCAAGAAAACTGGCACAGCAAGTATTTAAATTATTGATTATAATAGAACAGGTACCATTTCTAGCAGGTCCTACAAAGGTAATTCCCACAAACTATGAATTTACAAAAAATGCCACACACAAAAGAACAGGAACAATTTGGAGGCACAACTCCAGCTTCAAATAGAGAACTGTAGATCATACATCCTTCTGCCACCATCTTCAATACTAGAGAGCAGATCATTCATTTCAGGATACTTAAAATAAACCAAACTTCTTTTTGGTGGCAGGCACATGGTTATTAGTAAAGCTTTGAAGCAAACTAATAGGATAAGGGTATATTAGTATTTGATTTAAAAACAAAAAACAAAACCTGAAGCTATGGAGTACAAAGTTCAGTCATGGTTCTCAAAAGAGTTTATTTTCTATGTCTTAAAAGTGGCTTGCTAGGGATTTGTCTTGTCACATCTAAACTTAAGTGCTCAGAATGGCTGTCTCCTTAGAGACAAAATCCAACATGAACCTGAAAATACCAAATCCGGGGGTAGGGGTGGGGGTGGAAACCCCTTCAAATATGGCCAGGCTTTTTCAATCCAGTTTTCTCCATTGTGCCGGGATTACAATTCCCTTGAAATCTCAGCCACCATGATGAAGGCAGAGGACAACTATGAAGTCTCAAGACATCCAGAGGGACCAAGAAGGGCTGCTTTAAGGAACGTAGCTGTGTGGTCTGTAACAGCAGCATCAGAGATGCACTGCTCTGTAGAATTTGGACAGGGTTACCCCCTTTTTTGGGGGGGGGGTGGACATTATTCCCTGAGCTGGGTGGCAGTGAGTGATGTTAGTTCAACTTCATTTAGGCACTCAAGGTTACAAAAGGGCAGTGAGGAATTGGCTACTGTTACTAACATCAAACAAGAAAAGAGGGGGAAAACGGGGAGAGCTGTTTTTTTTTCATGAAGCTGATCTGTAGTCTATAACAGACACATATTTATGGAAACATTAAGCAAGATTTAACCTCCATGAGGAACTGGAGGCAACGTATGAGCACACACCTCTCCAGATCAATGAATCTCTCTGCTCCCTCCATAGTCACACCCTCCAACTTAGATAGGAATCCTAACAAGACATAATATGGGTCTGTGAATACTGTTCATTCCAATGAATACTGCTCATTCCGACTATATTCTCAGCTCGGGAACTCCATTTCATGCCATTTTAATCAGAGAGAGAAATAGATATGGCACAAGAAGTGTTAATGTTAACATATAACCCACAAACAGAAGTCTCAAACATTATCACATCACCAGTCATGGTCACTTCAAAGTGCTCTACATTAATACCTCTTTCCCCTTGTTAGATTACCTCGCCCTTGATACCCGTTTGATGTTAAAGACCCCCACATCCAAGTAGCTAGAATGATGAAGGGGAAAGGAAGGTGAAGTTAAAAATCGGCTTTTGCCGCGGTAGAAGCCGCGGTAGAAGCCGCGGCAGGAGGAGGAAGAAGAGGAGGAGGTAAAAGGTTGAGGAAGACTTCCGAGAGACTTACCAGAACATGTCCGAATCGTTCTTCCAATTCCTCAGCATTAGGCATCGGTAGTTTGGGGGGTGCAGGCTGTTTAGGGGGTAAAGGCGAAGAAGCAGTCGGTTGGGTTTTAATCTCCTTCGCTGGAGACATTTCCAGGCTGCTGGCTGCATTACCCATTCTCAGATTTTTAAGATTACAAAATTAAAAATCTGGGAAAAGGCTGCGAGTTGAAAATTCCCCGGATTTTCCCCTGAAGCAGAAAACGGTTCAAGGGGAGGGAGAGTCTCCTATAAGAAAAATCACACCCATAAAATAAAATAAAATAAAAACAGGCGGGAAAAAGATGGAGGGTGTTCCAGAAACTCCTTGCACGTGCTTTAAAAAAAATCTTCTATGGCAAGAAGGAGCCGTGGCGGTTGTCCATGACTTTGCTCTGGCGTCTGGAGTTACCGGAAACAGGAGAAATATAACGGCCGCGGCGGACTAGAGGGAACGTCGCCCAACGCGGTGACCGCTAAGCTCCGCTCCTTTGGGGCCACCACCAGGCAGGAGAGCGCTGCCTCGCGCTTTTCTGCATTCAAATAGATGGGCTCAATTTCCACGCGAAGGTAGCAACGCAACTTTTTTTCAGAAAAGGGAGGTGCATCCTCTGATCCGCTGCAAGCGGCGGAGAGAGAGAGAGAAAAAACGCGCGGCCGCTATTGGGAAGGCGAGAAGTGACGAGCTGCTCAGCTTAACTTCCCCCTCGCCTCCACCCCCAAAAGAGGAAGGCTCGAAAGCGAGAGCACAGGAAGTCACAATGCAGGTGTTTTGGCTTGGAATATTCGTGCGCCGAAAATAAGCTAGCGGCAACTTTTCTACACCGCTGCGCTGCAGGTCCCCTTCTGTAGAGGTCGCAGGCGAAAACGTTAGATCTCTCCTCCGGTGGCTTCGTCCATTGGCACGGAAGGTCTCCGTTGTGCTGAAAGGCAGAAAGCAGCCGCAGAGGGAGCGCGCGGATTTTGCAAAGTCTGGGATGGGTAGATGGGGAAAGCAGGGGAAGAGAGCCGAAAGGGACGACACAGTTTGCCCATTCCCTTAGGCAGGAGCCTTGGCCTATAAGGGAGGAGACGCCGGGGGGTGGGGAAGGAGGGGGACGAAGTAGCAGTCACCTGCTAGTGGAATGAGGGTCTCGGGCAGTAATAGCAACCGAGGCAAGAGACGGAAGAAGAGCTCCCTGGGTCTCAAAGCCCACGGTTTCCCGTTCGGGGAGTGTTATTAGCTTATTCTTAATTCCTTTCCAAAATAGAACGAGCTTCAGAATTTTTGCCAGGACTGCAGGTATTGAAGGCCAGGCTCCTTATCCAAGTCGGCGCTTTCCAGATATGCTGGATTACAAGTCCTATTATCCTCGGTCAGCAAAAGTGGTGGTGATGGGCGCACAGCGGAGGAAGGCTGTCTCAGAGAGTGTGAAGACAATCATAGAGCCGTAACTGAGAAGAGGGAATGGGCATTGGGTACCCGAGGTAGGGATATATACCACGTTCAGCTAGATCCACCTTAGAATGTAGGTGCATGTATACATATAACATTGGAAAAGAGAGAAGAGGGCGGGAGGAATCACGTGCCAAGAATGGAGGGCTTTAGGTTCCTCAAATCTTTGCCACCTTTTGAAGGGAGGAAATAGACGTCATTTTGACGGTGCGGCGCTGAGTGCACGCACCCTGCGCCCACGCCATCATTCTTTCAAAAGATACATCCCGCAAAATTGCTGGATAACCTCGTCTCACCGGGCCCTCAGCTAACACAGCTAATCTCCCCAGCAATGGAGGCAGAAAAGGGCAACGCTAGAAGAACAAAATACATTATTTCTATAAACCCACGTCGCTAAACCTATTTGCATTAAAGGACATCAGCATCTTCGGGTCTCTTTCGAAGCAGCCATGGTAGAGGCGCGTTCTACCAAAGTAGATCCTAAATCCACCCTCTAGTGGCAGATGGTTAAAATGGCTCTCTTCAGCAAACTTTTAATGGGAGCCAACTGATCTCTTCCTTCACATTTTTACCAAAAACAATTGGGTGTTAAAAGATTCCAGTAGCCTTCTGATAAGAGTAAGCCCTGATTAGCGCGCCTATTGATTAGTCCTGCTTACATTCCTAACAGGAAAGAACTGGAGGCCACTAAAAGAGGCAGGGGCCAAGTTAGTCTTCTCAATTTTTATTATAATATTTACATTTTTACTTCCACCACAAAATTCTGCAGAAGCAGATTTTATTAATTATCAAGATGCAATAACAAAATCACAATGCCCAAGGAAGGCAAGCAAAAATAGAGAGACTATTGACAAGCAAACTTGGCAAGATTCATGCTATTTATCATTCTGGTTTTGCTTCTTAAAATCTGAGGAACTACTATTAAATTAGAAAGCTCTTCTAATTTAGCCTTTTGCTCTCACACTGGTCAAGCAAATATCTTTGAAAAGCTCAATAATATTATCATACTCCCATTACTGGTCCAAAGCAGCTGGCACTGAGATTCTAATGATAAAGACCATAAACAGCTGTAAAAATCAATAGCCATACTGCAGAACACTGTGGTGTACTATTGTCCACAGTGAGTAAGATGTGTTATTCTCCAACTGTTCGTACTCTCTCCCTTTGAGGAAACTTCCTTAAAAAAATCTGGCTGGTATTCCTTTCTAATTCATTTCTGCAGTATAGTTTTTCTATATTCCAAGCTTAATAAATCTTCTAAATCAGTGATGGCGAACCTTTTTTGGCTTGCATGCAAAAAGCAGGGGGAGTGCGCAGGGGGTCGTGTGTGTGTGTGTGCCACACATGCACATGCTTTCCCCCTCTGTGCACATGCCTGTGTGACCAGCCCTTCCCCTCCCCCACTTTTGGCGCTCTTTTTTCACTCTTTCCAGGTTCCAGAAGCTTTCTAGGAGCCCAGTGAGAGCAAAATCAGCCTCCCCACCCCCACCCCGGAGGCTTCAGGAAGCCTCCCTGAAGACTCCGGACGGCAAATAACGGCCTTATAGCAAAACCAGAAGTAACTTCCTATTTGCTCATAGGGCCATTTTTTGCTCTCCGGAGCCTTCAGGAGGCTTCCCTGAAGGCTCCGGAGGGCAAAAAACGGCCCTACGAGCAAACCAGAAATCCATTCCCGAACTTATGGTTCGGCTATAGGGCTGGTTTTTCGTACTCTGGAGGCTTCAGGAAAGCTTCCAGAGGGCAAAAAATGGTCTCAAAAGAAGGCCAAAGTCAGTTGGCCAGTGCATGCATATGTGCTGGAGCTGACAGCAATGCCTCATGTGCCCTAATAAAGGGCTCCATGTGCCACCTATGGCATGAATGCCATAGGTTCGCCATCACGGTTCTAAATGCTGAATTGCTTTTATCCCTATCTTGTACTGCTTTAGCTTATTATAGAACCATGATAGCGAACCTATGGCATGTCTCCTACAGATGGCACGCGGAGCCATTTCTGAGGCACTGTCCTCTAAGCTCCAGTTCACATGTGCGCTGGCCAGTTGATTTTCAGCCTTCATTTTTGGCAATTTTTCACTCTCCGGAGGCTTTCCTGAAGCCTCCAGAGGGCAAAAAATCGCCCAACAGACAAATCCGAAGTTTGGGAACGGACTTCCAATTTGCATTTTAGGCTGTTTTTTAACCCTCCGGAGGCTTTAGGGAAGCCTCCTGAGGAAGAAAAATGCCCAACTGGCAACTTGGAAGTCCATTCCCAAACATCTGGTTTGTGTGTTGGGCCGTTTTTTGCTCTCCCCAGGCTCTTAGAAAGCCTCTGGAGCCTGAGGAGGGCAAAAAACTAGCCTATTGAGCCCACCAGACGTTGGAAAATGGAGCCTGGGGAGGCCGTTTTCGCCCTCCCCAGGCTCCAAGAAAGTTGTGCATGCATGGGGCACGCCGCAGGGGAGACATTAAATTATGGGGGTGGGTACGCAAGCGTGATAGCACGCACACGCATGATTTTGGCAACCGAGGCAAAAAAGGTTTGCCATCACTGTTATAGAACATGAAAGGTTCTGGAGTTACTTAATATTCTTAAAGGCAAGAATCACAACAGAAAATAGTAAAATAACTTTTCATTCAGTTTCAGGAAGCCATTGTTAACAAAATTGATGGGCAAGGCTGTCCGGTTGTAAAACAACTCATTGTGTTTATTCTGGTATGTTTAATTTTATTATTTTATTTATCTCCCTACTTCATCCCAATGCTTTTGAACCTTTTAAGATGAGGACTTTTATCTCTTAATTTTATGAAGTACGTGTATCTATATTTATACATAGTTTTGAAAAAAATACACTTTTGAAAAAAATATGTATTTCAGTAGCTATACTATTCAAAATCTGAGCAAGTCTTTTCCATCTTTTTTTTTTTTAGTCAATAGTTCCTTGGGCTAGGAAAGATCCATGTGAAAGAACATCTCCCAGGAAGTTCAGGCCAACTAAACATGTGTTTCTCCATGAATCCTGTCCAATTATGAGTCTATACAAAGTAAAAGATATTCAACAAGCACAGTGTTCTCAGAACCATCACTGAGCATAAGCCACATTAGAACAGATCCAGCCTTTTTTTTATCTCCAGAATCCGTCATAGAATTGCCTATGGGGATTTCTGAACACTGCTAACATTTAAAAGAAGCAAGCTGTAACAAAATCTTTATAATATGGAGTTGACGTAGATTGCAATAGTAGGGGGAGACTTTTTTGCTATCATGGAAATGATTATATTCAGTAATTTTCACGTTTGTTCTAATCTTGATAAACTAAAATGCCCAATAATTCATCCTTTATCACAAGATATATGGGAGTGCTTAAGGCACCAGACTAGAAAGCGGAGACTGTCAGTTCTAGTCCTGCCTTAGCCATGAAAACCGCCATGACATAAGGCCAGCTGTTTTAGTTAAAATAGGAGGTGTCTTGGTAATTGATAATTGCTATTAGAAAGAACAGGAAGCTCTTGTTTGTGTTGCATTGGGTAAATGCGGTGTACATCTAAGTTGTGTGTGTGTGTATTTTACATGTTTAATTTTTTTTTTTTAAAGGCAGCAGCAGATATGGTCTTCTTGAGAGGAACCTTGGTGTTTGGTTCGCACTGAGGTATATTGATGTAATAGCCATCTTCTCCATGGCAGAACATCAGAGGGTACTGGAGAGTGTCATAGGCATTGTGCATCTCACTGATTCGTAACAACCTGTTGTCTCTGCTGTGGAGAACAATCTCTCGTCTCAAAATCCTGGCCAACAATGAGAACAGCCACTTCTATAGCTATGGGGGCATTGAAATGACCTCGATATTCTCCAGGTTTCCTATCGGCATTAATCATCACGTGGAACTCCTTGTGGCCCTTAGGAACAGAATCAACAGCAGCCTTAAGTTCCAGAATATGCTTCTGGTGTTCACGCAGCAACTTCTGCAGTTGGCTAACCAGTTGTGGATTAACACCTGGGTAGATTCCACAACGGATGTCATCATCACCAACAAAGTACATCTGGAGAAATGAAGGCTGGTGCTGAGGCCCCGCCATGATACTCCCTATCCTGTGGTAGGCCTGCCCTTGCACTTTTGAATGTTGGTATAAAATTTCCCTCCTTCACCTCTCTGGCTCCAAAATATGTCATTTGGAAACATTGTACTTCCGGACAGCAGAAAAGAAGAGCTTTCTCATTTGATGCTGGTGGGTGAGAAGGTTGTGTAAAGGTTCAGAAGAGGACTGAAGGGGAGGGAGGTGGACTTGAAGTTTGTAAGCTTTACGGTTCTGGAGATTTTGTGATGATGTGTGAGTGGTATTTCTCTCTCTCTCTCTCTCTCTCTCTCTCTCTCTCACACACACACACACACACACACACACACATTATCAAGATGGGATATTTAAAAAAAAGTAAATCTTCAGATATTGCAACCAATAATACACAACTGACCACCATAAAGGTTGTAAACAAGCTTTCATAGTTGATGTGAAAAACTGATACTGGTATTAAGACAGCAAGCACAGGCTATGATGCTATGGAAAAATTTAATTATTTATAATTATAAATAAGTATTTGCATTAGAGCTAGCTCAGTTCTGAAGTACCTCAACATGAAAGGACGGCGAGAATAAAAATCTCAAAATGTAAATAAGTCACTTTTAAGTACTACAGGTTGGTGTTAAAGCTTTCTCTGAAACAAAATCTATAAAGACAAAGCATGTAAATAAAACTATAAAATTTCTATAAACTAAAGAATTTTCATAGAAGACTTTTTTTAAATAGTCCCTGATCCAATTCTGCACTTGGACCATCCCCACAGGCTACACATTTGATAAATTCTAGAGAAGGCATTTAAGTTTTCCACAACATCGATAGCATCATCCCTTTAGCCAGGGCTGCCACACTCGTGGCCCACAGGCTGGGTGTGTCATGTGCTGACCACACCGATGCCCAATTTAGCGAAGGGGCAAAAGTCCCGATACATCACGTGATGGTGCTGTGATGCCGTAAGTTTGACACCCCTGCCTTTAGCTATTTTCAGCTAAACAATGTTTTTGAATTAATGCTTACTTCTGTTATAGTCCCTTCAATTATATTGCACTTTATATGCAATCAACAATTCTTTACAGATACTATGCAGAGGGGGGTAGAATGTAAGGATAAATGTTAACCTATGGCTATTTACTGAATTTGTATAAGATTAGAGGTGTAAAGTGGCTACTTGCAAGTACATGACTGGTGTTGCTGATTAAGACTTTACAACTCAAAATTCTCACTTAACATATTAAGATACTCAGTAGGTTTTCTCCAGAAGATTGTCCTATTGCTGACAAGGTGCAATAAAATGCTTCCATATTCAGACAAGATCTAGCGAGATCACATGAAGTAGGATGGAGTGAATTATCTGATTGACTGATTTTAGTAATGAATAATTATAAAGAGAACAATCTTACTAAGGCAACTTGTATTATGGAGATTAATAATGATAGGGACTGAGTCACCATGCCATTGATACCATCAAGAGTTTACATTTGTGCCTCTGTAGCCAATGACAACAGACAGGTTCTTTTTGAAAAAGAATATTTTTTATTTGTATGCCATCTGAACATCAGATATACCTGGTGTGTGTTAGCGTGAACCATTTGTACATTTTGAAATTCATGGTGCCAAACCCTCCCCCAAGACCAAAACAAAAACAAAAAAACCCAAACCCACCTCTCCCCAGAACATTTGAATTGGCTGACACAGAATGAAACTTTAAAAATGCTAAGTAGACAAAAGAAAAAAAATAAAGAGAAAAGCAGCATGAAAAAAGAGGGGTAGATACAGCCAGTTAAGAGATGTCATGCGTATGCAAAAACATTGTGGCATAGGAGAAGCAAGCTTACAAAATAATTATGAGAAAGCAGGGAAAGAAAATGGAAGATGAGGGCAATGATGTAGAAGGTTACACTACTCGTATGTCAAGCAACACCTTATATATAACTTCATTATTCAATGACAAAACACCAGGGTGAAGAGCGTCGTCTCTCCCACACAAAACCACCACTCTAAAGTTCCTCTAGATTTGAATAGAGACAGTTTTAAGAGGCAAATCATTTACAGCAGTCTCCTTCATTCTAGGATCCCCCACCCACACCCTACCCCCGGCTCTTCAGACCATGCCAGCTTGGAATTACTGGAGTTGAATTCCAAGGTAATTTGTGGGCACTAGGAGTTAGAAGGCTACTTTACTTTTGCTGCAGGGTTGCCTCTGAAAAGATCTCCCCTCTCCCTGATGAAATGTTTATGGCCAATAATTGCTTTCTGGAAGTAATAGTGGAGCAGGCAGGAATCCCTCCTACCATTGTAAAAAATAGGCTGCCAAAAAATCCAATAATTATTACTTGCTCCACCATTATATCTAGTAGTCAGATTAATTTGGTATTGGAGCAACTAGTTGCTTGATTCTTAACACAGACTATGAGGAAATTCACTGCTGAAATGACAGTATGGTAAAATTTAGGAAATCTGTTCTTCAGTAAATCCCCTTAGGTATCTGGCATAGTAACAGAAGAATGCAGTTTCAGATAGCAGCCACATGGGTAGTGTAATATGCAACCATGCCCTCACCCTCAAAGGGCAGCTTTATTCTTGATGCTCGGGAAATGGAACAAAGGTTAAAAATACCTCTGGATGGCCCAAACCAGCCTTCCGTCAAAACCCATGTACTGTTTTTTTTTTTAAAAAAATAAACAATTAGGAACAGAAGCTCAATTGTACTTTCAATGGCATATCTTGTAAAATTAAAAGGCAAGTACATTCTAGCCTTTAAAAAAAAGCATGCAGTGCAGAATCAGGAAACCTTGAATACCACTGTTGAAGAGTGGCTATTATCTGCCCTTTTTCTAATATGGAAAACTGTATTTTAAGCAGGCCCCGTGTGATAAGGCCTTAGAATTGTAGATGGGGCACTTAAGGATGACAGAGGCCTGTAATATTTTTTTTCTTACTGATTCTTCAATAAGTGTGAACATTGATGTGGTTTAGCCACTCTGACTCCTGAATTCTGAACACAAAGTTAATATAGCTCCCAATTTCTAATTTTACCCTTTACAGATGACAAAATTCCTACATAGAACACAATGCTATGGAAGGAGTTTGTGGGAAACCAACATGCACCCATGGACATTTGCTACTTGGGCACATGCTTAGCTGCAGTAATCAACCTTGATTACCCAATGCATGTACACCTGTGGACAATCAGGTTGGACACAATGCACACAAGAAATAACTTCTATGCAGGAATTTTGTGTGGCTGGGTTCTTGTGACTTACAAGACATCTTGGCCTATCCCTTTGCCACCTTCAAGAAAATGAAAAGCAGGTTCATTTTTAAAGGTAGCATATGCATCACTCCTTTTATTTAGGATGCTGCCACTGCTTCCCTTCCCCCCACCCCTGAAACATTTCTTTTTTCTTTTTAACATTATTTCCCCATCCCAGTACAAAGTTCAGCAGATAAAAGGTTACATGGAAATTGGAACACACAATTGTATAGACAAGATGGATCAGATGAGGAAGTCTTAAAACAGCCTTCCCTACCCTGGTGGCCTCCAGATATATTGGGACTACAAATCCTAGAATCCCTGGCCATGTTGATTAGGAATTGAAAGACCTGTAGTTCCATCACATCTGGAGGCCACTTAGTTGGGGAAGGCTGTCTTAAACTTTTTAAGTGAGGAGGAGAGCAAAAGGGGCATGGGGAACCCAAAAAACCCCCACCGTCTTCTAAGCCTTTTGTTCCACCCACCCCCCAAAGGTTTCACGCACCAACGCTGNTTGCAATGGACAGAAGCAAACTCCTTCATTCTTGAAAATTGTGGAAGACTCACCATGGAATTTTTTGTCCAGGATCATTTGAGAGAGCTTTCTTTCCACATCTGCCTGAAATTGAACCAGGAAATGCTCAAGTGAGAGATTGCTTAGAATAATGATTCCCTCTCCCCTTTATCCCTTGAAGAACCATTTTCCATTATTTATTTCAAAGAAATAGTTGCCAAAGTCCAATAGATATTTACAGTTCAATGCATGTATACCTGCTTACTGTGTTCAATGCAGCTTATTTCCATGTGCAGTTCTAGTATTTCAGGATTAGTAATTTTTTTGTTTTATTTAAATTGTCCAAAAACAGAATTACTTCTGTCTTTTTAAGAGTTGAAACTGAATTTGAAATTTCTTCCAAAATCACTTCTGCTGAAGAAAATTAATGTGGCTTTTTCACAACTATAACTAATATTTTAACAAAAAACACTGAAAGTAGTATCATATAGATAGGCTGCTACATTTGAGCTCTTACCTTTGATAACTTGATAAGGCTAGATATGTGGTCAATCTGCAAAAGAAATTGAGATGGGGCCACAGTGAGTGGAACTGCTATTTTTCTGAAACAGTTAATATGTAATAATTATCTATTAATCTTTTCACTATTTGGCTCTACCCCTGTATTCACAACTGATCATGCTAATTTTTCAGCCTTACCACATAGACCAGGGCAGGAATCCACTCCACAGGAAGGCTAAAACAACTTTTATTAAGAGTGGCTATGATAACAGAATCTTACAAGTCTGATTGTGATGTACCTCCTTGCCTTTTTATACTCATGTGAATTAGGGAAGTATCCTGAGTCTCTTCCACATATTTCTGATTATTTGATTCACACTTGATCGTTTTTTCTTTACACAAGGTCAATTTTGGCAATTAATTTTTTAATTAATTTTATAAAGAAAAATATTAATAATCTCCACCCATACTACAGTTCTTTTTTAAAAAAATCTTCCTATCTTGAAATAATCTTATCAGCTTTATGATCAATTATTTAGAATCTCTAATTCAACTACATGGTGAACAATTTAGTAACTAAGGATTCTCTTAGTACTTCTGATCAAAGGATTCGTATAGAATCTGAACACAGCATAAGAATCTGATAACTAAATCCATTTATTGACCCGATATTGAAAACTACGATTCTAGATTTGGAACAGTTTCACCCAATTCATTCTGCCCTGAAATTCCTATCCCAGTCCTAAAACCCATGTAACAGAACATTTCAGAGTAGCCTAGTTTAGACAAAATTATTTTATTATTTATTTTTCTTATGTCTATCAAGCTTTTCCACTAAAATGCTATGTTACGTTCTTTTCTGGTTTAGCTAATGCATAAATGTGGCCAAATAAATCAATTAACTAAACATGCAGTATGAGAAAAAAAATGGCTGATTTTTTTAATACAACCAACCACAAGTTGCTATTAGTTTACAAATCCTTCCTCATTTTAACCAGGGCTTGTGATTATGTTTGATGCTAGAATAATAGCTTAGTCCCAGTTTGGTTTTCTACTCCATCCAAAAGAAACAGAAAGAAGGAACATCAGAATTGTGCAAATAAGACATAATTACTTTATATGTCATACGGACTCTGACTTGTTCAACAAGACAGAGATATAGAAGGGTTTAAAAGATTTAAAACATATCTTAATTAGTTTTATATGAAAGTGCCAATGTTTTAGAATAAACTCTCCATGTCCAATTTGATGGGAAAAGAGAGAACAATAATGATTTAATAAAAGCAGAAAGGGAAGCACATGGCAAGCTCTGCAAGAGCGTTTTACCTGCACTCTGGAGAAAGGCTCAATAACACGAATGAGGTTTTGTTCCAATAAGTTATCATACAGTTTTCCCAAATGTGTATTGATGATGGNTATATATGTATAATATACACACTCCTGGGCCAAGGCTTTTGAGGATGCAAATCTGGGGAAGGGGCTCATAATATAGTTGAGTATTTATGAAAACAGGAAACAATAAAGCAAGTGACATAGGGAAATAAAGTTTTACCTATGGCTATCTACTGAGTTTATGTAAGATTAGAGCTCCAAAGTAACTACTTGCAACTTCATATTTCTGGCAACTACATGATTGGTGTTGCTGATTAAGACCTTACAGCTCAAAATGCTCACTGGTTAAGGTATTCAGATACTGGGTGGGTTCTCTCCAGAAGACTGGCCTATTGTTGTCAGGCTGCAATAAAATGCTTCTATGTTCAGACAAGAAGTCTCAGTGAGATCACATGAAGTACGATGGAGTCAATAATCTGCTTGAAAGATTTTACAAAAGATTAATTATGGTAAAGAGAAGAACCTTATTAAGGTAACTTGCGCTATGAAGATTAACAATTATAGGGACTGAGTCACCATGTCACTGATACTCCCACGATCTTATATTTGTGCCTCTATAGGCAAAGAAAACAGACAGACTTTTTGAAAAATATTTTTTTATTTGTATGCCATCTGAACATCAGATATACCTGGTGTGTGCTAGCATGAACCAGTTCTACATTTTGAAATTCATGGTGACAAAACCCTCCTACCCATACCCCCCCCCCCCCAAATCACCTCCCCAGAGCATTTGAACTGGCTAAGACAGAAACTTTAAAAATGTTAAGTAAACGAAAGATAAGAAAAAGCAGCATGTAAAATGAGGGGTAGATACAGCCAGTTAAGAGATGTCATGTGTATGCAAAAATATTTTGTGACATAGAAGTATTTTACAAAATAATTATGAGAAAACAGAGAAAGTAAGTAGAAGATGAGGGTAGTGATGTGGAAGGTTACACTACTCACACATCAGCAACACCTTAAATCAGGGGTGTCAAACTCGCGGCCTGGATGCGTCATGCGCTGGCCACAGCCACCCCCATTTTAGCGAAGGGGGAAAAAGTTGTGATACATCATGTGATGACGTGACGCCAGTTTGACAATCCTGTCTTATATATAACTTCATTATCCAATGACATAACACCAGGGTGAAAAGTGCCCTGTCTTTCCCACAGAAAACCATCACTCTACAGTTCCTCTAAAGTTGAACAGAGACAGTTTTAAGAGGCAAAACATTTACAGCAGTCTTCTTCATTCTAGGTCCCCCAGCCCCCAAAGGCTCCTCAGACCATGCTTGGAAGTATTGGAGCTGAAATCCAAGATATATTGTGGGCACCAGGAGTAAGAATACTGCTTTACTTTTGCTACAGGGTTGCCTCTGAAAAGTTTTCCCCTCTCCCTGATGAAATGTTTATGGCCAATAATTGTTTTCTGGAAGTAATGGAGGTTTCCCATCTGCCATTCCAAAAGACAGCCTGCCAGAAAATTCAATAATTCCTCCACCTTACACCTGATGAGTTAATTTGGTATTGAAGCAAGTAGTTGCTTGATCCTTAACATAGACTATGAGAAAATTCAGTGCTGAGATGACAGTATGGCAAATTATAAGGAAATCTGTTTTGCAGCAAATCCCCTTAGGTATCTGGCACAGTAACAGAAGAATCCCGTTTCAGATAGCAGCTACATGGGTAGTGTAATATTCAGCCATGCCCTCTCCCTCAAAGAGCAGCTTTATTCCTGATGCTCAGGGAATGGAACACAGGTTAAAAATACCTCTGGGTGGCCCAAACCAGCCTTCCGTCAATAAAAATCCATCTACTTTTTTTTTCTTAAACCAACAATTAAGAAGCTCAACTGTACTTTCAATGGTGTATCTTTTAAAGTTAAAAGGCAAGTACGTTCTGGCCTTTAAAAAATGAAGTAAAGAACTAGGAAACTGAGAACCACTGTTCGGGAGTGGCTATTTTCTGCCCTTTAATTGTTATGGAAAACTGTATTTCAAGCAGGCCCCATGTGATAAGGCCTTAGAATTGAAGATGGAGCACTTAAGGATGACAGAGGCTTGTAATAGTTTTTTAACTGACTCTTCAATAAGTGTGAAGACTGTTGTGACTTAGCCAACTCATCTCACTCTCACTGCCCATAACTCCTGAATTCTAACCACAAAGTTAATATAGCTCCCAATTTCTAATTTACTCTTTACAGAGTAGAGTGGGAAATCAACATAAACTCATGGACATTTGCTACCTGGGCATACTGTATACTAAGAAACACTAATCAACCTTGATTACTCAGTGCATGTACACCTGTGGACAATCATGTTGGACACAATGCACATAAGAAATACCTTCTATGTAGGAAATTTGTGTGGCTGGGTTCTTGTGACTTACAAGACATCTTAGCCCACCCCTTTGCCACCTTCAAGAAAATGAAAAGCAACTTTGTTGTTCATTTTTAAAGGTAGCATAAGTTTCAGTCCTTTTATTTGGGGTGCTGCCCCTTCTCCCCCCCCCCCCTTTTTTTTTTTCTTTTTTAAACATTTCCTCATGCCAGTACAAAGTTCAGCAGGT